TGTTTTTAATAGCCGAAAGGTTTTTGGGAACCCATCTTGCACTAACCTTATGCATACCTAAATGATCATGCAGGAGTCGATAAACACTTGTATCAGAGAGCTTAGTAATTTCTGAGATTTCCTTGACCTTCAAACGTCGATCACTCAATAGCATCTCTTCTACAATATCTTCCGTTATGACCTCCACTGGTCAACCAGTTCTTGAATCATCTTCAAGGGACTCCTCCTCCTCCTCAATTTGCATTATTTGCGACATTTTTTCGGACACGTCTTGTTTAAAATGCTGTCAATAAAAAACTATTTGACGCAAGACGTCAATTTTTTTTTTCGCTGCCTACTAAGATGTATATTCAAAAGAAGACAAAGTTTTATCGTGATATTGGAGCTGCATATATGTCAGGCCGGGAAATTTTGAATGTAGATAAACAGAATTAAGTTTGCCAGAAATGAACTGCGACGACCATGTTGATTCGGATCAATGATATTTTTTATTAGAAAAAATAACTGTGAATAAATTGTAGCTCCTAAAACCAGTGAAAAGTGACATAAGGGAAACATAACAGAATAACTAGACTATAAAATATGAACTATCTGGGTCACTTTGCAGCTCCCAGGTGATTGTCGATTAAAGATAAGAGGAGTTAACAGCAGCATTAACACTAGGGTGGGTCAAAATAGACGGTTATTTTTTTTGGATTTGACACACAAAAACTAGTTGCTAGTTACCTCTAGAAAGTACTTACCACGTATGAGCTCTTAATATTTAAGAGAAGATTTTTCTTATTATACTTTTTGCATTTGCGATTTAGTCTCGTATATTAATAATCATATCTGATCACCAATATATCATAAAGCCAATTCTATTAATAACTTTTACAGGAAATTGAACGCTCTACAAAAATGGTCGCTTATTCTTTTTGGATAAATTGAACCTTTTCAAATAGATTCGAGGTCAAAGATTGAAGAATTTAAAGAAAAATAACTTTTTGTTAACGATTGCTAGAACCATTTTAAAGATATTTCATAGTTTTTAATAAATATCTTCATCGAATTAATAAATTTTGAAATTATTTATTACCTTTTTCAGAAAAAAAACTTCTTTATTTAGGAAATATACTATTTCGAGCTTTACAGCTTCGACTACCTTCTTTCTTATATCGAGTGGAACAGTATTATCACTGATAAATTATTAATAAAATTTTCTTAATGACATATTAGTAATAAAATATGATTATTTCTATATTAGACTAAATCGAAATTGCCAGACTGTCATGAGAATAATCTTCCCTTTAATATTACATGGTAAGTGCTTTCTAGAGGTAACGAGCAACTGGTTTTTGTGTGTCAGTTCCAAAAAAAATTATAGTTTATCATTTAAATGGAACTCAAGAATTTGCAAAAAAATTATTGAGTTAAACCCGTATAAGCATTTGATGAATGGGAAAATGCAGTTTTTATTTACAGTAGCGATGTAATTTAAATCATTTTAATTGAATTTAGTTAATTTCTGTAGTATAAGAGCGCACGTTCTTTTTCCTCGTCAAAAGGCGCCGAAAATCTAACGGTAACTCTAGTGAGCAAACAAAAGGATTTTCTCCGCCAACTTTTGCGGGGTGGGGCGTTGAGGGGGGTCCGTCGGCGCTGAAAAGGCAAACAGCCAGCCCGTTCCCGATAAGGAACTCTAATTATGGGTTTCGCGACGTTGTAATCAGTCAAAAATTGAAATTTCCAACTTGCGAACTTGAAATTATTGCCGGTCGGCTCTCGCGTTTCGTCGCCCCCCTCCCACCACCCGTAGGGGCGACATGAAAGCCAAGCCCGATTTACATGCATAATGGTGAACCTCCTCCCCTCCGGGACTGGCCTGACCGCCGCGCTTGTTTTAAAAATGATTTATTTGACGGCCGATTATTTTCTTGTTAGTTGTGATTGCAACAAGTCATGCTTTCGAGCTTTGGAACTTTGCCGTTTTAAAAACTTGCTCAAATAGTCAGTAGTTATCGGAACTTTTAAGAAGTACAATTTTAATTTACCCAGCCACGTATAACCGTTTCCACGTTGTTAGTTAAACAATTTTCGGACATGCAATTTGATTGTTTAATTATACGTCGCAAGATATTGCTTTGGAATTTGGAAAAACATGCTCGGTTTATACTTAGATAGATATTTAATTTAATATAATTATATACAATTTTCTTGTTCCCTTGTTCCGATACCAGGTAAACCTAGCGATATTATGAGAAATAAATTACGTTACGGAAACAAACTGCCCCTTCCTGTCCTGTTAAAAAAATCCTTTTTGGGAAAAGTTTGTAAAGGAACGTTTTCCGATAAAATCGACATATGATATATACTAATATCAAAGTGCAAAGTTATCTTTCTTAAGCCTAAATGGGTATTACATTGGACATGGCCAAGCACATTAATGACGTTTTCTTTGGTCCTGACGCGTCAATTTCTTCTATTCACCCGATTTTCAAGAACTTGTTTTGTTTGGCCCAAACATTAACTACTAAAATGTGCTCCAATGAGATATTTTGCTGCCTATACTTACAAAGCACTGGCAATGGAATAAGACGTTTTTAATATAATAAACACAATCAGAGTACTTTTTACAAAACTCACACTAAGAAAACTCAGAGGTTAGATAAATTTTAAAATCTAACTATATCAAATGAAATATTTGTCAAAAAATCAAAAAATCTTGTCAAATCATTATACTATTGCTATAATTTTTATATTCCATATTTTAAATCAAACGTGTAAGTTCCTTCCAGTAACCGACGAACATGAAACGCAGAGGATCGAGTTTTGCACAGGAGATCTGAAGAAGGTGCAAATTTTCTAAACAGCAGGTGTATTTAATAGCAAGAATAAACATTTTTGATCCACTAATAATCAACACAAAATGCAGGCAGTGAAAATCCAAGGACGGACGTCAGTTATTTTATGGTGTGGCATGTTGAACAATGTGGTGGCCGAACCAATTATATACGAAGGATCCTTGAATGGCTAACGCTATTTAAATTTCCTTGCAGCAGAAATAGAAGTTGTTGGAAAATGTGCCAGTTAGGAATTATTTAAATTTAATTTGGCATCAAGATGGCGCACCTCCGCATAATGTCCAACCGATTACCTAAATAATAAACACAGACTTTAGATAGGTAGGCAAGGAACTATCAAATGGTCCGCCGACCTGAATCCTTGTGACATTTTTTTGTGGGGTCACTTAAAAAATAAAACTCGTTATAATAGGCCGGGGAGCTCTCGAAGCCTGGGCGAGAGACCGGGCCGCGGGGGGCTGGAGAGTTGCTCCGGGAATGAGGCAAGCGAGGCTTATGATGGATGGGCCCGCCCTTCCTCGGACCAGGGAGCTGCTTAGACTGACCAGAAGGGAGTGTAGAGCACTAACAGGGGCCTACACAGGACATTGCAGGCTTAGGAGGCATCTCTGCTTGCTAGGCATTGGAGACGACCCGGAGTGTAGGTGGTGCATGGAAGGGGAGGAGACCCCGTATCATCTGCTCACCGAGTGCCCTGCCTTGACATGGGCAAGATTGGGAGACTTCGGAACGGCCCTGATCGATCCGGATTCAGTGCACGGTATTGGGCTAAAGGAGTTGCTGACCTTCTATAGGAGGGGCGGCATTCTGGACGCCCTCTAGAGCGGCCTGGGCGCACAACGGGCCCATCTGGTGGCCTAAGTGCTTGGACGCCCGCGAGGGCGCCCCCCTTTAATACCAATACCAATACCAATGCACTTCCACATCGTGGATACAGTGGACATTCTATCTCCCGAATTAAAGCAACTTTATCATCTAGAGATAAAATTTTTCGCTTACTCGCCATGCTCGCCGTATTCACTAAGTTAAATTAGAACTGATTGAAACAATGGTGTGCTTTTATACATACCGATTAAGACATTAACATGTGTAGGCCCCTGTTAGAGCTCTACACTCCCTTCTGGTCAGTCTAAGCAGCTCCCTGGCCAGTCAGTCAGTGCAGTACTGACTCAGAGGGACCGTATGTGGAAGTGCAAAGAAAAAATCATTCAGGCTGAAGCGGCAGTTCTAGTAAAAAACTAAGAAAGCCAAAATTTGATTTGGATCGGGCAATATTGCAGTGGTCCTCTGGACCTATCGTAAAACTAAAAGCAGAAAAGTTTGCTGAACAGCTTGGCATTATCGATTTCAAGGCTTCGGAAGAATGGTTAGGTAAGTTCGAACAGAGATATGGTGTAAATTATGGATAGATAAGTGACGAAACCCGTGATGCCGACAGAAATGTCACTAACGATTGGCTGAAGGAGACGTGGCCACAACTAGTAGAAAAGTACCCTGCTGACGATATTTTTAATAAATAAAATACATTTCAAAGGGAAAAGTGTGTGGGTGGAAAACTTTCTAAAGAACGTATAACAGTGTTAGTAGCTGCCAATATGAGTGGGAGAGAAATTGGAAAATCAACTATTTTAAGAACAAACTGAATAGGAATTGCTTAAGAAAGTGACATTTATTTTAACCAAGGATTCCAAAATTGTCGAAATATGCAGGGTGTTAGAGGGGGAGGCACTTTTGGAACACCCTGTATCAACAAAATTATAATATTTTATATTTTCAGGAGAAGCCGTTTGTACGAAACTTTTTTCCTATGCCCTATGAATTTTCAGATCGTATAGCGGATCGTTTTATTTGGCACGCAGTGTACAAGAAGTACAAGAGACGTATCTGAAGAACCAAAGCGAGTTTTGCGATGCGACTGCGGGCTAAAACACAACGAACCCCCGGACTGACGCACGGGCAATACCCTGGGGCATCGCGTGCCTGCGGACTTTTTCATCATCGAGCCCCCACAACGCGAACGTTAATAAATTATAAGGCGATACACATTTTCGTTATGACCTTTCAATTCCCCAGGTCCTATATGGCTCGCGATTGATTTTAAATTACGACCCCTATCGGTGGCCGCTGACAACGTCGACTTGTCAGACGCGACTGACACTTATCAATTCCCCTACCTTTTCGGTACTTTCCAAATTTCAATAACGATGTCTGCAGACGGGCCGGACCCTGTCGGATCGCCTAGAGAAAAACGGAAACTGCCCGGAAGCCATTCGGAAGAGAGCTTTGACGGGCAAAAGACCATCAGACAGAAACTTATCGCCAAAGTGAAATCTTGGAGCGGCAAAGATACCAAATTCGTGTCACAGGAAGCCTGGGAGCAGAGCGGTACAAGCGAGGACGACAGTCCCAAGTTGCGAAAGTCGCCCAAATCCTTGCCCGCCCTTAGCGGCACTTCGAAATTGTTGTTTTGGGATCCGTACGATCGGAAAGGCAGAGGTAACAGGAAAGCAGCAAGGAAGAAAGGCAAAAGCACCTCCGTTCCTAGAAACGACCCTGGTCCAAGTCTGGACGACGCGGAAGAAGCAGCCGGAGAAGACGCTGTCGAGCCTGAAAAGGACAACTTGAGCAAGTACGCTTACGATCCTAGAAGTACTAAGTCTGTGGTGTTCACCGACGAAGTCTTGGTGGTGTACTTCAAGAACGAGCTCGTCGTCGGTGAAGCGACGGAACCCTTGAAGAAGGAAGCGGAACAACAGACCCGGAACAAGGAGATGAGAAGGTGTCACCTGGTGAAGTACCAAGACAAGTACAACTTGTGTCTGTTTTGAGACTGTCCCACGATCTATCCGTCGTCAAAGTAACTGCAACGTACAATAGTAAAACATGTACCCATCGACTTGCCTTTGTTTATTTCCTTAAGGTTTTGGTAAGGCGACCTTTAACAGTAAGTGGCCAAAATCATCAAATCACTTAAACTAAGCTCCCTAAGAATGTACCTAACTCTGAAATTTGAGTTTTCTCAATAACCTATTTCACAGGTTTCTGAAAATGATTTTAAATTGTTTAGTGGTTTTTATGGAGCCCACAGAAAGCAGTTCCGTCGTCAAAACGCCGGAGGTTGTTACTTTTTAGTCCAGTTAATGTTGAAAGAATTAGGTTAGGTAGTAGTTTTTATGATTGGAAATATGATTACCATGTGGCAGTAAATTATTTGTGCAATTTATCTCACTGGCGCTGCTATATTACATCTATTTTTGACGAAGATAGAACGATTCTGAATAAAACATTGCTTGAAAGGCATTTTTCGAGTACTGACTTGGTTGAATTCTAAAACAGAGTAATACCATGAATTATGTAATATCGTCCCCCTCCCCCCTTATTTAATTATGATTTTGGTGAAGAAATAAAAACAAGTACAACCTGTGTCTGTTTGTCCCAAGATTTTCTTTCGTCAACATGCAAGAGCAAAATGTATACTAGTCGAATTGCTTTTGTTTACGTCCATAAACTTTTGATTGGACAACATGTACGACATCTCTTGGTTCGGTCTGGCAATGATTATACCTAACTCTGAACTTTGATTCTTCTCAAAAAGCTATTATGGCGTTGAATTGATACAAATAGTAGCATTCAGTTGTTTTGTTGACTTAACGGTGTATCGTCGAGTACTGTAAAATACGGTGATATTACAACGACATACAGCACTGTCATGTTTTCAAGCCCTCCCATTTTCAGCTTGGATCCCAAAATATCAACAGTGAACTTAAATGAATTGACAGAATTTCTAAAGACCATGGTTTACTCTTAAGCCCAGAAAAATGTACAGTATCATTTTCACATGGCACGAAATTATATGCAAAATTTATATCATTCCATAAAAAAGACTTCACTAATTGTAATTCTGCACAATTATGACAATGGAAGCTGCATAAGAGATTGCTTGTAACTTGATATACAAAAACCATCCAAAACCATTTTTCAAGCACTGATTTGGTTGGAATATAAAAAAAGTAATACTGTGAAATATTTGATTACGGTTTTGAGGGCTGAGCAAGTTATGTTATTGTAATATAAGATTGCAACTTAAAGAGTACCCCAACCATCCCAACATCACCTTTGGGTGAGTTTCTGCTGGCTGCTTTCTCGAAGGTTAACTCCATGATGGGATCAGATTAGAAGAACTAATAGTCATCGTAAATTAGAAGCGAATATATACACAAAAAGGTATATATTTAATTCAATTCATTTCAACAATCTCACTTACGTCTGAAACAATATTGAAGTTACCACACATAAACAGGTGTAGGGGGATCGAATGAAAGCCTATATCGGACTTCAATTCTGGGGGCACTTTTTACAAAACTTCTGGATTCCTCCTGTGTCGGTTTTTGCTGAATCGATCTTGCTAACGTGTTGCCAATCATCCTCTTGGCTTCTTCGGAGCTTGACTGAAACTGGCTCGCGTTTTGCTCCGTACCTGCTTATATATTATTGACTCTCGCATCTTTCGTTGGTAGAAGAATTGATAACATGCAAGAATTATAGTTTTGTCGAATAATCAGGACTGTTTTTGATCACGTAGCGGCAGCTTAAAAAGGTTTAAAATTTTTCGGACGTTCTTGAATAAATAATGCCAATCTATGAGTATATATAAAACAATGATTGAAAGGTTTTGGTTAGTTTTTTTTTTCTTTTCACTGCCAGCTTCCTTCGAAAAGCGATGAATGAGGTTGTGAATTTGGAGAGGCACCCACCCTCAATCAATTTGCGAATATGATTACCCGGGGTTGTCCTCTATCCGTGCCGCGTCAAACAACCCCGCACTGTTTAATATTTAATGAACAAGAGTCAATAAATCTAAAACAGGCGATGGGGTGATGCGAGATCTAAGGCAAAGGGTGCGTAAGTATTATTCGCACCCTACAATTTTACATCTCTCCTCCCTTAGTCGCGCTAATATGTTAATTTGATCGTGGCGCGGGGTTTTCAGCATCCCGATTGTCATTCGGAGCCGCCAAATTGAAAGAAAAAGAACAGTATTCGGGATACAAACGCACACATCGCAAACAACGGAGAGACAGAGACTTTGTCTATTGTTCGAGGGTTTTCCGCTTCGTGCCCGCTTGTCATCGGATTGGCGGCGCTTCACCGACGCAAACGTGGTGTATATACGTTTAATATTATCCACGGGAAGTTTGGAAAATTGCCAAACGTAGAACGGTGTTCGGCTTGCGCAGCGAAAGCTGTCAGGGGACCGCGAGTCCTTAGACTCCGCAGTACGTCGTTCCCTACTTGTTCATTACAATTTTAAAAAAAATGTTTTGACAAGTTGTCCATAAAAATCGAAACATTTCAGAAATATTGTCAACGATATGGGCTGTTCAGTAAAAGCCTGGCAATACAAAAATATATGTTTTTAAATGAAACACCCCAAGAAGTGCATATTAGCAATTTTTGTTTCTTTTGTCCAAAACATGCATTTTTAGAGAATTTATTGCATTTTATTTCCAAATAAAGACCTTGTCCAGCGATTTTCGATACGGCATGTATTTATTAATTTAATACAGCACAATGTGGCCGAGTCAGGTATACTTGATTGCGTAACACGTAATTAAAATATGAAATCTGATTTCAGAAATCCTCTTTCTAGTATGCTTCAACCAGAAATATAGTGTTTTTACAACCGACCCCGTGATTAACTTTGCGTATTGTTTATTACTCCAAAACGGAAGCCACTTATAGAGCACACTGCCGAGCATACCCTTATCCGTAACAATTCCAGGACCATCCTAGGAATTTATCTACCTACACCAGCCCGCGGGTAGGTTTCCCTTCCTCATTTCAAACAGATCCTAGTCAAAATCGGCTTTTTCGAGTCTGCATTTTCATAACTTACCGGACTCAAATCTATATTAAAACTGCAGATAACTACTTAAAACTCACTTTCTTCGATTAATAGTAGGTTTTTCTTCCATTTTTCAAGCAGATTCCAGTCAAAATCGGCTCCTCCGACACATATCGAACCTAAAACGGCATCAAAACTGCAGATATGAGCTCAAGCTATCATTGATTGATCCAAGATGTTGAGAGATTTTTGGACAAGTGCTAAATCTGGTTTAGAACTTTTGATATGTGGTCAGTGATGTTTTGAATGTAAGAAAGGACCACAGTGGCCAGTGCAGGATTGCTTTCGACCTCATTGCCGTTGGAAGATTGTGGTGAAGTGTATTTTTTGATGGAACGCTTAATATCTTTAATGTGGAAATTATTAGAGAGAAGAGCAGAGGTAACATGTTTTAATTCTGGGTTCATTGGCTCGGACTGAGATAGTTCTCCGCTCTGTAACCAAGAGAGTTGATAATTGATAATTTTTGGAACGGATGGTGATGTGACCATGCATTAAAGTATCGGTCTGTGTGCGTAGGTTTTCTGTAAACACAATGACCCAAAGTTAGGTCTGAGTTTCAGTAATAGGAATAGAATTTCAGGAATACCAACTTTACCAAACTTCCTATTCCTGAAACTTTCGACATCATTTTAGATACATTAAAGTCCGAGAATCTGGACCCAAACCTTCTCACCTTAATTGAAAAATGCTTTTCTTATAACGGTCCAATTTTTGAACAAACTTCGGGAACAGCTACGGGTTCTCCACTATCACCAGTTATCGCGAATATATTTATGGAAGCCTTTGAGAAGAAAGCTTCCGACACCCTTCATCTAAAACCAAAATGGTGGAAACGCTACGTCGATGGTCAAGAAACCCTAGAAGATTTTCCTAGACATTTAACCCTAATATACGTGTTACCATTGAGTTGAAAACTATTAATAGCCTTCCATTCTTAGATATTCTTATCAATAGAAAATCATACCTGACTTTGGGTCATTGTGTTTACAGAAAATCTACGCACGCAAACCAATACCTTAATGTATCATCAGTTATCAACTCTCTTATTTACAGAGCCGAGTTACTGAACCCAGAATTAAAGCCCTTACCTCTGCTCTTCTCTCTAATAATTTCCGCATTAAAGCGTTCCATCAAAAAAAAAACACTTCATCTCAAGGACGACTCTGATAGAATTAGATTTAGACATTTAGATTAAAAATGTAATTATGTGTAGATATTCCTAGCTATGAATTTATTCTATATAGGGTAAAGTGGTGTAAGACGCCTCGGCTCTTGATACGCTCCGCCGCCATACTTTTGCGTTCATTCCTTGTCTGATTCAGTATCATGCAGGACACCGGTCGTGTTACACGTGCCTTCCTTCGTGTGCGGTAATTAAAGACGCACGCTTGTATTTTTCCGAGAAAAATAATATTCATTGGTAAGTACAGCCAAACATTTTTTAGATAATGGGCAGAGTATATGTGGGAAAAACCACGAGAGCATCTTGGACCGAGACTGCAATGTCAACAGCTATGGAAAAAGTGAAAAGTGGTCCGATGGGGATAAATGCAGCCAGTAGGGAGTATGGTTCCTTCAAGAACTTTGAGGAGACATCTAGCTGCAAATAGCAGTAAAGTACTTAGGTAGAAGTCCAGGTCTAAGTACAGAGCACGCAAAAATGTTGGTCCGGCATATACAGGTAGTGGGAGAAGGGGGGTTCGCACTTAGTAGAAATGATGTGAAAAAATGACTTTTGCTTTCGCCAAAAAGTTAAGCATAAACTGTTTCTCTGAAAATGATGAGTCAGCAGGAAAGTTTGGTTAAATGGATTCTTAAGAAGAAATCCCAGCCCTAGCACGGGCCCAAAGGATGAATAGGAAAGAAGCTGGTGATTATTTTGATCTCTTGCATATACTATTAACTGACAATGACTTATTAGATAAGCCGTCCAAAACATTCAATATGGAAGCATTCAAGTGAATAATAACTCAGATCTTGA